AAATATCGCACTAAAACATTATCAGGCAGTAAGACTACAAGAAGTTGAAGTCAAGAACGTTTAAACGTTCAACAACATGTTAAAATGTGCTAAACATAAAAAAATGAAGTAACTCACTGCCCTTGAGCATTTTAGCGCGGCCATGAGTAGGGTTGGCAAAACGGGCCAACCCGGCTCGACCCGGCCCAACCCGCATTCAACCCGTAAAAATCGGGTCGGATTAGGGTTGACTCGAAAAAATAAACGAGCCAGAAAATCCAACCCAGCCCAACCCGAGCCGGGTTAGGGTTGGCTTGCGGGTTGGCTCGATAATCAGCTTGCGGGTTGGCTCGGAAAAAAGCTCGCGGGTTGGCTGTAGGAGAAGGAAGAAGATTCTGAAGAAGAGAAAAAATTCTAAGTTTTGAGCGCTAAAACGTTCATCCAGAACGTTTTAGCGCCCTGCTACAGAAAGAAGTCAAAAGATGTTGGTCTGGAGCGCTAAAACGTCCATCCAGAACGTTTTAGCGCGCTGCTGCACGTCAAAGCCAAAAATATGCAGGTCTTCAGCGTTAAAACGTTAAAGCTCAAACGTTTTAGCGCCCTGATGCCAGAAAAGGATTCTGGTCTTCAGCGTTAAAACGCTCAAACCAAACATTTTATTTTTATTTAAAAAAAATACCCAACCCGCGAGCTGGCCCGTTTAACCCGAGGGCTGGCTCGTTTGGGTTAGGGTTGTATCGGGTCGGGTTGTATCGGGTTGACAGCTCATTTAGGCCAACCCAACCCGACTCATTTAGGACGGGTTGCGAGCCAACCCGACGGGTTGGCTCGTTTTTGCCAACCCTAGCCATGAGCGCTGAAACGCTCTGGAAAAGGATTAATGAAAGGGTCGAAGAGCGCGTTTTAGCGCGCTCATGCATTCACAAGGCCCAAACTTACTGACTAAGAGCGTTTTAGCGTGCTACATGTGCGCTAAAACGCCCCTTCGCGGACCAAAAAAATTAAATAGCCCTTTCCCCCCCTCATTTCCACATTCTCTCATATCTCACACCTCACTCTCATCTCTCTACACTCTCTCCCTCCCTCAAGCATCTATCTGCCATTTTTGGCACAAGGAATTCACGGTATGTTTTTCTTTTCCCTAATTTCATTATTGCAACATGGAAGTAGAAGAATTAAACCTAAGGGTAAGTCTATCACCATCGTGAAATTGAGAAGATAGTGCAAGGTTCATTAAACCGAACCTAGGGTTCCAATTAGGACAGATGAATTACACTATACCCATAACAAATCATTGCACAAGGAGGTTAATTGGAGTTATTTTTTTGCCTTGTTGTGGTTGATATGGATCTAACGTGTTCAAATTATAGTCAAAAAGTATCTTCACACACATGCACACCACCTGTTCGGTGCACTTGCCAAGTCGCAACAGGCAACCACACTGAGGTGGTGGTTAAGAGGGCATTTTTGATTTGGGCAATTATGACTGAAAGGCCCATAGATTTTCCCAGGATCCTTGCTGAGAGCCTTTATGACATGGCTCACACAAACAGTAAGAAGGCATCCATTGGCCATAGTTCTCTGATACAGTACATGTGTCAGGCAGCAGGGGTAGAGATTCCCACAACTGGTGGAAGAGAGATTACCTTGCTGCCAACCATAAATGCCTTGATTTAGCTTCGAGTTGTGTAATGTATCAGGATTATGGTCCGGACTACGTGTTGTAGTTCTGTGATGTAGATACTCACTTATTTATGTAATGAGGTTATTTAGTGTTTTTAGCTTTATTGCAATTTACATACAGGCAATGTTTTGAAAAAGGATTAAGTAATCAACTTGGTTAATGATAATGACGTCATAATTGAAAAGAAAACATTTATTCCGTATTTTTAATTAAGCAACGCTTAATACGATGACATGATAACAAACCGGGTATACACGGGGTGTTACACTTTGCTTGTTGCAAACCGTATAAGGAATTGGCTAGTTAAGTCCTCCCAACTTTGGACTGAATTAGGTGGTAACGCGGAGTACCACCTAAGTGCTACCTCCTTCAAGGTTGTTGGGAATAACCGACAGGCTATTGGGTCGGCTACATCTTGCGCCATCATGTTTGTCTGGAATTGTTCCAGATGTTCTTGCGGGTCTCCCTTCCCGTTGTACTTCTCAGTTGTAATTTTTACGTCTCTACGAATAGGGACGTTCATGATACATGGGGTGAATGGGTGAAAAATACATGAAACCGTTCTAGAATTCCCGTGAGAATTTTCGTTGGTTTCTTTTTCTTCCTCTCCTTTTTTGTTTTTGTGACCCGAAGGTCCAGGATCTCCTTTTGAATACTCCTGTATCGGCTCACTTTCGCCGGAATTTTCAAGTTCTTTCTCAGGCTCTTTTTATTTTTCTTTTCCTTTTCCCTGATTTTCTCTCTAGCATTTTGTGATTTTTTTAATCGAGCTAAATCTCGATTCTGCTGGGCTTTTTTTTTTCTGCTGTGTGATAAGTTTCAGCAAGTGTTGGGTTGGTGCCACCGACGAGGCTGATTTCTCACGGGAGGCAGGAGTCTCCTTCTGCTTTCCTTTGGAGCCGTTTTGAGATTTGCTTCTGGTATCAACCATGTTTTTAAATTGGAAAGAGATGGGTTCTAAATGATAGATTCCCACAGACGGCGCCAATGATCAGACCAAATACAATATGGGCTGGCCAATATGTACTGAGCCAAATCACACACGGTTGATGGAGAGGGCCTTATGGATGATCTGTTCTCTAGGCTTGAGGTTGAAGTTGATGATGTGAGAACTCAAGTTCTCCTTTGGCGCGGTGTCTCCAATTGGGGGGGGGTGCCTGCGATGACACTCCGACGCTCAAGTCAGTATCAGTTGCAGGTGTATGTATATTCTTACTAAATTAGATGATCATACCTAGGCATGTACCCTCTATTTATATAGTGGCTCTGACGCCGCCTTCGGAAGGCGGTATGGCCTCTGATTGGCCGTTCCAGGGCTACAGGTTTGGCTATAGCATCGATAGCCTTATCTATTAATGCCAAACTATCTTGATAGAGTAGCGACAAGCTGGTGCTGTCCTCAGTTTATTAGTGCAAAGGCGTGGTGGGTTCGTAGTAGTTCTTGAGATAGCTTCCTTACCTCTGAAGTTATGCTAAAGAGTGGTTTTATACGCGATGAGGGCATCGCGTTTATGTCATGCGCGATGAGTGCCATCACGCCTAGTTTTGGGCCTTCGTGTGATCGGGCTTTGTTTGTATGTCTTTGGACTTCTAATGGGCCTACTATATTTTATCCATATCAAATAGTATTCTTAGAAATTATTTTTCTAACATGAATTAACCATTTTTTGAGGTTCGAACTCATAAATCAATGTCAACAAATCATGATAGTTCAGAGGTTCAGCTCCTCTACCTCGTATAAATCAGTGATATTATACTGAATGAGATTCCTACATGCAAATCCGGTTATAAATCATCCTTAATAAATTTAGGAGAATCATCTATATCTTGTCGTCAACAAAATAAGTTGAATCTCCTAATTTCAAATTTCATTAGACATTTTCATTATTACTAAATCTTTCTTGAATTCTATTAACCCTCTAAAGTCATGTCAAGGATTAAGTAATAACATTTATTAATATTGATATCATTATGATGCTTAATAAGTTGTCCCGCCAATATTCAATATATACAATCCGGATTTGTCTAATCTTTAGTTCCATTCAATTAATGTTTAGGTGTGTGTGAGTGTGTCCATTGATTCCATCTTCGACTCATTTGGCATAGAGCTAGGGAGCGTTTGATAGTGGAGAAATTTTTTTTTATCCGAAAATCCTAGTTTTTGGGAATATACAAGGAAATAAGTTTATCGGGAATGTTACGAAAATGTTGTTTGGTTAATGAAAATATTATTGAAAAAATTGAATTAATTTTGTAAATGCAATGTTTGGTTAATAATAAAATACTATCAGGAATATCTACAAAATTTACAAAAATAACCTTGACGGGGTGTTTTTAATATTCAAAAAAGTCTTTCGTTGTTAACTTTTTCAGCTCCTTGACTATATCCGATTGTGAATATTGTTTTTATAACAAGGAAATTGCACATGAATCTGGTATTATATAAACCAAAATGGCATATTGAATGCACCATTCAGCAGCGATTTCAGGGGAACTAAAGAAAGCAAAGAACACTCATCACATTAGCTTGACGTCACCGGTACGAAGAAAACTCACCCTATATAAGCTTGACGTCAATGAAAACAAGTTGTATATTTCGAATACCGTGAGCAGTTGTCGTCTTTCAAGCGAAGATTTTCCGGAAGATGTGCTTGCTATTCCCAGAACAAACCACAACCTCCTTCTCAACAATGGCAACACATTTGTTCATCGGGTATACTCATCTCATTAGGACACGATAAAGAAAGGGTAAAAAAGTCACCAAATTTATGTTTAATTTTCCCTACAAACCGGATTCGAGGAATACTTCCCTTTTTGTGGTATTTGTATATGGTATTTGGGTTAACAATTTACACTACAATAAAAAGTCTAGGTAAATAGGATTCATTGGGAAAAAAAAAATTGCTTTTTTTATACCAAACAAAGATATCTTAGAATCCCAATCAGGCTTTTTCAGGATTCTAAAAAAAGCATGTCTAGCAAACGCCCCCTAAGTACTTTCTTAGTTGTTCACATATTAACGAAGGATTTTCCCCCCTTTTTGTTTGTGTATACGTTTTACATTAAAAACACAAGTAACAACAAATACTGATTGATTAACTCTTTCGTCCCCTTTTAAAACTAATTTATCATTTTGCCTCCCTTAGACTTTGTATCAATATGTTCTTATTTGACCAATACTGTTTGATCAATTTGTCCATTTACTTGATTGAGTATAGGTCAAATATTGATCAAACAGGAACATATTAATTTATAATTAAGCAAAGAGCAAAATAATAAAATTTAAATAGGGACAAAATGCATGAGCCCAACAAATGCACAACTTAGAATTTAGGAGAATACTGCGGCAAAATGACAAAACGTAAGGGACCAGTAAAATACAAAATTCCATTGCAAAATGGGTTATTGGGACCACTGCAAGTTTCAAATCAAACAATGGGGACAACATTGTACTTATGATCTTGTGTATTTTTTGGTCATTGAAAGACTCCATCTATTGTCCTATAAATGTGTAGGTAAGTGGTTGAATTTCTATGTAGAATCTAACACCACCAAACTCATTTTTCTGTCCCCAATAAGAACTGTAGGAAGCGAGGTTGTCATATAAAGAAAGAACTGAACGTGTCAACATCTATGGAGAGGAGCAGGATATAGGTCTGGTAACTGATATCGTACACGATCATTATGCGGAAATGGTCCCTCCTACATCCATAAAACTATAATTACTACATTTTTGGAGGAGAAAAAAAAGAGAGAGGAGCATAGTTCCAAATGAGTTGGTGTGAAGGAAAACAAGAAGAAAACCAAATATGTTACCTAACATTAATGTTCACGAGGAAAGACTCACGTTAAATAATAAATCAAACCAAATTAAGCAGTTGGGAAGAAAGTACCTCTTCTAAGTTTATCTGGAATGGCTTCACAAAGTCCTCAAACATTACTGGAGACAGTCCCTTCAATTTTTCTTCAACCTCCTATGGATGCGTACAACAGAAGATACTTAAAACCGTAAACATATCATATAAATTTTCATAAAAGAGAGAAAAAAGGAGAATATATATATATATATATATATATATATATATATATATGTATATATATATAATCAGGCCAATAGCTTCAATCTAGAACAGAAGGGAAAAATAGACTTTGATCAAAAACTCTACGACTGGTCAACAGTTTGATTCTTCCCACTCCCATTCTTCACAACTAAATTAAATTTATCACCAAGGTAAAGTAGGCTCATGCACTATCCACACTTTTTAACACCAAAGCGCTCTTGCATGAGACAAAATGTGAGATAAACCATTCCTAAGCCTCATTCGAACAACTTAAACTTTTGAGATAATTAGTCTTTGACATGCGGGAAGCATAAGTATTATTTATTACAAGAATACATGATAGTGCCATGATGGACAAAACAAAACAAAATATAATTATACTTCAATCACTTCCTCTCTCCAATGAAAGAAAGGAAAGAAAAACTGACAGCAGAAATAGGAGCATAGCATACCAATCCAGTTATTCTGGATCTCTCCAATAGTTCCCTTGCAATCATGTCCAGGATGTGCCTATTATCCCTCAAAGCATTCATTGCAAGTTCTTCGGTTTCTTCAATGTACTGTCATGACATATCAAACAAACAACTTAAAATCATAGTACATGTAAAAAAACACTCCCCATTAAAATTCGTCTAGAGAGGGTAAGGGTGAGAACAATCCTTGTACGCAGCCTTACTCTTGCATATTTACAAGGAGGCTGTTTCAAGGATTCAAACTCGAGGCCTTTCAATCACAAAGAAACAGTTTTATCACTGCTCCAGGCTCGTCCTCTTTAAAATCATTGTATATGTACTGACAAAAAAAATTGAAGTACGGTGATCACATCATAAGCCATTACTTCATGTAAAGAACCATTTCAACCCAAAACCTTAAGGTGTTGGGTGAGGGCCTTTTTAATAGTTTATATTATTCTCTAACACACCCCTTTACGCAAGAGCCCTTTGGGCTTAAAGGTGGATATTACACAAGCCCAATTTTTGGTTCACCTTGTGAATATTTTAATTCCAATAGAAAGCGGGGGAGGTGAGGATCGAACACGTGACCTTGTGGTCAAGGAAGCTCTGATACCATGAAAAGAACTCATTTCAACCAAAAACCTTAAGGTGTTGAGTGAGGATTTTTTTAATGATTTATGTTATTCTCTAACACTTCATATCATCATTCAAAACATGATTACTTTACTACACAGTTCCAATTAAAAGGTTACAAATATCTCTAGACAGCTGACTAGCAATAAGAAAATCAATTCCTTTAACAGAGGGAAATTTCAAAATTTTAAACAAATATGTTCTACTTTTTATAATATTTATTTTCCTCTTGATTGTTTAGCGCCAAAAGCAAAAATCTCATCATGATTGGTCCTCTCTTTCTTCACCTTGTATACAAATATATCATGTTCATGTTATGTCATCTTTTGTGTCAACATCTGTATAAAATGAAACACGTTACATACAACAGAAGGCTTTTTAGATTCAAGAGTGAAGAATTTGCATAGGCTTATAGCTCCTTCCAAATGCAATACAAGAAAAAAAGAAAGAAAGCAAATCAGAATTACCCTTGTCAACTCCCGTGTAAAGAGCTCAGACACCTCTACTGTCATATTAGCAGGAATTACTTGAGGATCGTCCCACTGAATATGAATGAAGAGAAAATAAAATTGTATTACTTTCACATTACAGAGAGGTAACATTGTTATTTTTACTACTTCAAAGAAGGAACATACTCTATATCTTATTAACTCGCCATCTGGATTGTCTGGTCGATCAGCTAACCCAACCCTTTTTGTTAAAGCTATTAGCCCCAACCTTGAATTTTGAGGGCTGATTACCATCTCTCTAGCAATCTGAAAACAAATTTCAGTGAGAGAGGCAAACTAACTAAAACCAAAATAAGTATATCATCATTTATTATACACCCAAGAAGATGGAATCATCCAAATCAATAAAACAAGTTTACTGATAAAAATATCCACATTATATGCATGTAAAGAAAGACATATACTAAGCTACTAGGATTGGTCTAGTAGTGAGAGGTTTGAGTAGTTTACAAGAAGTTATAGATTCAAATCTTAGTGCGACCATTATATCAAAAAATAAAAAATAAAAAATAAAAATATGTAAAGATCACCCTCAGGCATAAAATATATTTAAGCAGCAAGCCCTCACGGCCAACACCCGCCTCCCCTCGAATAAATAAATAAATAAGACATCTTAATAAAGGAAGTGATGATGTGGGTGCATTACAACTCAGCAGTGATCATAAGAATTAGGATTAAACTTATTTTAATTCAATAACTACTTGGATATGAGCAAATGAGATGAAGTAGGTAGGAATCAGTTGGTTCATTTGTAAAGAACCAATTCAACCCAAAAGCTTAATCTGGTAGGTGAGAGCCTTTTTAAAGGTTTATACTATTCTCTAACATGCCCTTACACACGAGAGCCCACTGAGCTTGAAGGGTGGACAATACACAGACCTGCCTACTTGTGCTAAGAAAATTTCACAAGAAAAAGTGGGAGGGCCGGTGAGAATCGAACCCGGACACGAGATTCTGATACCATGTAAAGAACCAATTCAACCCAAAAACTTAAGCGGATAGATGAGGGTCATTTAAATGGTTTATACTATTCTTGGTTCCGTTGCCGAGACCAACAAATATATATATATATATATATATATATATATATATATATATATATATATATATATATATATTAAAAGATGTAAAACAAAGTTTTTTGAATTGATACATTTGATTTTGTAAAGAACCTTGGGATACACCACCCCAAAAGCTAGCTCAAAGGGTGGGAGTGCCCAAGACCTTATAAAAGTCACATTAGTTGCCCATACAATCAATGTGGGACTATATATCTCAACACTCTCCCTCACGCCTAGAAGGGTGGAATTGCACAGGCTCAATTTTTGGTTGTGCTTTTTATTTTAATTCCACTTGAAAGTGGGGGGCCGTGAGAATCGAACTTGTGACCTTATAATCACTCAAGCTCTGATACCATGGAAAGAACCTTGGGATAGATTTACACTCATAAGGGTATTTATACAAGAGTAAATGGAAAAAAAATGGATAAGAATGACTCAACAATGAGTCATCAGCCTTATCTTATAAAAGCAAATTCAAAATCCAAATTCCTATTAAAGGAAAAAATCAATCACTAATAAAAGTAGAAAGATCCTAATCCTAATTTTCTACACTCCCCCTCAAGTTGGGAGGTAAATGTTGATCATTCCCAACTTGCCAATCAGGTCTTCAAAGGCTGGCCGGTGTAAGCCGTTAGTGAGGATATCTGCAGTCTACTCTTTGGTAGGAATATACATCATACACACACTTTTATCATCTAGTTTTTCTTTGATAAAATGGTGATCAACCTCAACATGTTTTGTTCTGTCATGGTGAACTGGATTTTGAACAATACTAACAGCAGCCTTATTATCACAATACACTCTAACAGGTAGGGAAAAAGACATCTTCAATTCCTCAAGGAGTCTTCTTAACTAAATTCCTTTGCAAATACTATGGACTAAAGCCCGAAATTCTACTTCTGCACTGCTCTGGGCAACAACTGTTTGTTTCTTACTTCTCCAGGTCATAAGATTTCCCGAAACATAGGTACAATATCCTGAAGTTGATCTTTGGTCCAATGCAGAGCCAGCCCAATCTGCATCTGTATATGTTTCAAGCATCGTCTTGTGTTCTCTTTTAAAGAACAATCCTTGACCAAGAGTGTTTTTGAGGTACTTAAGAATTCTATAAACTGCACTCAGGTGTTTTTCCTTAGGAGAATGCATGAATTGACTAACCATGCTAACTGCAAATGCAATATCAGGCCAAGTGTGAGATAAGTAGATCAACTTCCCCACCAATCTCTAGTATTGCTCTTTGTCAACTTCTTTCCCATTTCAATTCCCAATTTAATATTTGGTTCAACTGGAGTCTCTACTGGCCTGCACCCAAGCATTCCTGTTTCTTGTAACAAGTCTACAATATATTTCTTCCGAGTTAAAGAAATCTCTGCCTTACTTCGAGCAACCTCCATGCCTAGGAAATACTTGAGAGATCCAAGATCTTTCAATTCAAACTGATCAGCTAAACATTTCTTCAAAGAGCTTATCTCCCCACAATCATTATCTGTGACAACTATGTCACCAAAACAATGAGAACAACAATTTTACCATCATTAGAATATTTTAAAAATAAAGTGTGACCAGTCTAAGCTTGGAGGAATCCTCTTCCTTTAATAGCTTGAGTAAACTTCTCAAACCACTCTCTAAGGGATTGTTTAAGACCAAAAAGAGACTTATTCAACTTGCATACTGAACCGTCTCCCTTTTCAAAACCAGGTGGTGGATCCATATAAACTTCATGTAGATCACCATTCAAGAAAGTATTCTTTACATCTAATTGTTGCAATGGCCAATCAAGATTGGCAACAAGTGATAGAAGAACTCGGATAGTGTTAAGCTTGGCAACAGGGCAAATGTCTCCTAATAGTCTATCCCATGAGTCTGAGTGAATCCTTTAGCAACCAATCTAGCCTTATACTTGTTGATGCTGTTATCTGCATTAAACTTTATTGTGAACACCCGATTGCAACCTACAGTTTTCTTTCCTCTAAGTAATGTTACGGACTCCTAAGTTCCATTTTTGTTGAGCATCCATTTCTTCAAACATTGCATTCCTCCATTTTGGATCATCAAGTGCTTCTTGGATTTTTTTGGTATTTTTGTACAGTCTAACATAGTGTCGAAAGCACGAAAATCGGGGGACAACATTTTATACGTGAAATGATGAGAAATAGGATAAGCAATACAAGATCTAGTACCTTTTCGAAAAGCAATAGGCACATCTAGGTCAGCTTTATCAGTGTTGCTGGAACTAAGACTTAAGTCAAAATCCTGACAGTCTAGAGGCTCCTGAGGTGATTTGCGCCTTCTATAAAACTTTCCTCATTTACCACGAGGATCTCCATTCTCTGGCACAATAACCCCCTATCTTTTGCGCAAAGACTCCCCCTGTCTCCAACAGCAAAGGCAAAACAACAAAATTGTTTGATTTCCAAGACTTATCTTCATCTACCCCAATAGACTTCCCCTGAAGAGAAGTCGAAAGAAAAAAGAATTGTCTCTAATCAAATGTGACATCTATAGAAACAAAGACCTTACAAAGAGAATGTGAGTAAAACTTGTAGCCCTTTTGGTTAGGAAGATATCCTATGAAGACACATTTAATAGACTTAAGATCGAGCCTAGACCTTTGATGGGAAGGAACATGTACAAAAGCAACATAACCAAACAACTTGAGAGGAAGGGAAGAATGAGCCCGGAAAGAAGAAAAGGTGTAAGATAAGATAAAGGAGACTGAAAATTTAGGACACTAGAAAGGCATGGTAAAGACAAGAGCTCAAGCAACTTCAAGGAGATGTCTATTTTTTCTTTCAGCCACCCCATTTTGTTGAGGGGTGTTAGGACAAGAACTTTGGTCAAGAATACCATACTGGGTGAGATAGTCTCCAAGAACAAAATTAAAACACAAGTATAGATAGAAAACTTGGCAACACAATGTAATCCAGAGGTAAGTTTGCTGATAGAGATGAGATTACAAGTAAGAGAGAGAACATGAAGGAATGTGTTCAAAAATTTTAATGGATCCCATTCCAGCAATCGTAGAGAAGCTGTCATCGGCTGTTCTTATTCGCAATTGTTGATAGTAAGGGGTATAAGAACAAAACAAGATTACATTACCTGTCATATGATCAGAAACCCCTGAATCAAGAATCCACTGACTACTATTATCAACATGGAACGTTGTACCTTGTTAGACCACAAAACTGGTGATTTGCAATGCCAAACTTTTTTCAAACTGCGTGTTGGATGCAGCGGAAGGGACAGGTGAAGCCATGAGAGAAGACAAAATTTACCCATAAAAGTCGCCGGAAAAAAAAAAAAAAAAAGTCACCGAATATTTTTTCTGTCGGTGATGACCAGTTGGGTTCAGCTTAGAATTTGATTCTGCGGTGACTGATGCCCTCACTCTGGTGATTAGACCTTCGCAGATGAAGATTCCGGCATAAAACTACAAGGTTTTTTTTTAGGGGGGGTGAACAGTATCAGCATGAACAATAACCGAAAAAAATTAAAAAAACTGAAGGGGTTTTGCAGAGGTTGGTTGGTGTTTGGATAGTATTCGGACTAGTTTCAGCCTTTGAGGATGGCTGATTTAGGGTAGGAAAAAACCTGTTCTTGATACCATATTGAAAGATGTAAACCAAAGAGTTTTTTGAATTGATACATTTGATTTACACTGATAGGAGTATTTATACAAGAGTAAGGGCCTGTTTGGTGTGGTGTATAAGGCCTGATAGTATAAGCTTATACTATACGTTATGATATTTTCAATTGTTTGGTGTGACCATCGTATAGTATAAGCTTATACAACATGAACCCTTTATACATCAAAATGATGTATAACTTAATCCGGCCTAGGAGTGGTGGATTAGGCATGATAAGGGATTGATGTATTAATATTGCTTGCAAGTACAATTCCCAAGAACTAATATATCATTTCAATATTTATATATTAAAATAATTTTTTTTAATATATTAATTTTTAAAATATTGGAGGATATTATCTTATACAATATCATACCAAACGCTGGATAGTATTAAAATTTAATCAGGTCTTATACAATCAGGTCTTATACTATCAGGTCTTATACTATCAGGTCTTATCATATACTATGATGCACCAAACATGCCCTAAATGAGAGAGAAAAAAATGGATAAGAACGACTTAGCAATGAGTCATCAGCCTTATCCTATAAAAGCAAA